GCAGTTGCTGCTGTTGTTGTCGGTGTTGAAGGGCTGTCTGCTGCCTGGTCGAGGACAAGGACAAGAAACCTGGTGGTTGCAGAGCAGAGGATCAGAGTAGGAGGGGAGGTAGGAAGGAAAGGAAGAGGCGGAAGAGAGATGGAGGTTGCGCCGTCGGGGAGGATGGCATGCACCTCACCAGCCAACCGAGCGAGCGAGCGAGCAAGCAAGCGGAGAGACCAGGCAGGCTGAGATGGGGTGACTGGGCACTAGGTACTACCTAGGTACTAGGTGCGAGGTACTAGGCGCCAGGGACTAGGGGGGAGGGGGAAGGAGGTGGGGAGCAGCGCAGAGAGCAAGAGTCAAGAAGGGAGATGGAGGATACGACGACACCCACCTACCGCAATGTCGGGTAGTGCGGGCGCGGCGGTGCTGCGGGACCTTCTCCGCTGAGCGCTGAGAAGAAGGTGCCAAGAAGGTGCCTCGCCCGTGTGCTTGCTTCCTGCTTGCGAGCTTTTGGGCTGTGTGCTGCAAGCAGACTGACTCTGGTCCCTCTTTCCCCCCTGGGTGGCTGCTCTTTCCCTCTCGATCTCGTTTTGCCTGACAACGTCTTCCCTGACAACGCAGCGCAGGCCGGCCTCAGGGTCGCCGAGGATCGGTTGGCTTGGCAAGAGGAAAGCAGCGATGGATGGCAGGAGCGACACGACACGGCGGGTACGACGCAGGCAAGGCAGGCAGGCAGGCACACTGGCAGGGCCGGCGCAGAAGCAGATCAGTGCTTCCGGCGGTGGTGGAGCGGTGGCACGTGGGGGGGAGATTGCTGGGGAGATCGTGGGAGGGTCTCAGCATGGGAAAGGCGAGGGTCTCACTGGATTGACAGCATTGACTGGAATGACAGCCCGTCGCCCATTTCGCTTTCGTCTGGGCCATCATTTCCATGTTTGAGAGGCCTCTCACCTTGCTCGCCACCACCTTGCACCCGTACGACTCGAGCTACCCGTTACCGTTACCGTTACCCGCGTCCCGTCTTCGTCTGCATCAAATTGAAACCAGCATCACGAACATGACGCGCGCGCCAGCCTACCGTTGGGTCAGACCAAGGCACAACACAGCATAGCACAACCAGCACAGCACGGCTCACCAGCATCATCATCTTCATCCTGGAGGACCAGGGAACGACCAGTCCAGGAGGAGCTGTTCCTCATCCCTGCACTGATCCCCGCCGGCGACGTCAACCGTCAAACATCAGGCGCCGCCAGGACCACCAGGTGAACCCCAGATTAATGACTGATCGCCAATTCAGAAACACACAGTTTGCCATCCTTCACTACCCTTTCACATCATCATCTGCTTGGGTACCCATCATTTCCCCCCCTTCCGTCTGTGTTCGTTTGCCGACAACCCCGAGTTGTGGGCCAGCCAGTCCTCCCCATCACCCTCGCAAGCCTTGCAAGTGATCATGCCACCCAAGTGCGCCGCCTCGGCGCCGCGCAACGAGCCCGAGCCAAGCGTTCATAGTGCGAATGCCCTCGCCTCTGCTGCGCGCCATTTGCCCCTCACTGCCCCCGATTTTCTCCCTTTGTCCATTCGCGCTCAGCTTCGTCCGCCGCTCAGCCATTATTATACTGCCCCTCCGTGGCCCTCTTTCCCCGTCGCGCATCTGGTCGCCGATGCAAACCTCTCCGCGATTCATACATCGCATGAGATTCCTCAGCGTTGTGGCGCATGTCTTTCCATGTGTACTTCTTCTTCTGCTTCTCCCACCGGCCCGCTGCTCTGCTGGCCACTGCTGGGCCACGCACGACACGACTACCGCACGCAGCCTGTTGAGCATACGGGAGAGTTAGTCTGCACCCTGCAATCCCGCAGCACACCGCCCTCAAGACGTGCACCCAATGTAAGCAACAGGGCCGCAAGAGACACCATGGCGGAGAAAGCCATGTCTCAGGCGTTGTGCGTTCTGCAGTGTGTGTGTCTGCCTGCATCATCGCGGATCCCAGCCACAGCGCCGCCTGCCTGGTGCCTGTCTGGCTGACAGACGTGGACAAAGAAGAAGGGGTCGTGGCGGTGGTGATGATTTGTTGACGCGAAGAAGGGACCAAGCCGCCAAGGGTTCATCCAGGAAAAGGTCCGCCGGCCAAGGCCAGGCCACCACCAACAACACGGGTCCGGCCCTCTGATCTAGTGGATGATTGACCGATCGAGTGACGACAAATGACTGACAACCTGGCAACAGCCCAGAGACGAGCGGACCGTATACTCGTACGTACCATCCTACCAGATGTAACAGACATGAACAGTCAACACAATCCCGGCCCATCTATCCCGACCCGGCGATGACATGACATTGCCAGATAGGTACCCGCTTGCGCATCCACTCGTGCCGTCACAACAAACGTCGATGGCCCATTCAATCTGCGATCCAACATCTTGAGTCGTCGTTCCCAACTGAGCGTCAAACCACTCACTCTCTAGTGCCAGTAGTCTTTTTGGCATGATCTTCTGGCATGATTGCCGGTTTCTCTTTGCCAGATGCACCGAAAAGCCTCATGTCCTGGACAGTTTGCACCGACCGAAAACAGCGAGCGGCCCAAGATCCCGGCACCGTCAGCAATCTACATTCCAATCTCACTGTCACATCACATTCCTCTACCCCGCCATCCGCACATGACCTTGTTCCTCCGCCTTGCATCGACCATACAGGTGGCGGCGGCAATCCTATCCTCAGCTATCTGCCTTTTTGGGGGGATGGGGGGTAAGGGTGGCCGTCCAGGCGGTCAGGACTGGCTGGCCTCGCTTCTCGTCTGAAGCCGACCCCTCCATTCCAGTTCCATCGCTCCAGTCACAGTCCGTCTTCGTATGCCCGTACCGCATCCACGTCGTCTGCTCCATATGGACAATCCTCCCACATCCCCGACGTCTCCGAAGCTGGAATCTCAGCCCGCTGCGCGAATGACACGACATCCTCCAGCCCATCGACGAACGAGTGAGTTGGCGCAAGAAAAAGCGAGAAATCAATGCCAGAAGAGAAGAAAGCAAAAATCCCCGCAAACTAATCATCATTCCGTCCAAACTCTGTTTCACTGACTTGCGTCTACCCCTCGATCCAGGCCAAACGCGGCTGAGGCCACGAAGCCTGCCCCTCTCTCTTGCGAGCTTGCGCCTTGGAGAGGCCGCCCGGCGACACCGGCGCCGGTGCACCAGCTAATGCCTAGGCCAGGACAGCCCGCGCGGACAGGCACACACCAGAATCGACAGGAGTGCCATCGCACAGCAGACGACCGCTCGCCGAGGGTAGCGCCGATAGGCAGACCTAGCAGCCAGGTTTGGTCTAACGCGCTGCTCTCCCGCGGCACCGGCAGCGCCCCGGTTGCTTGGGGGGGTGGGTTGCTGAGGGTCGGTCGCTGGGTGCGACGCTTGGCTGGGAATGCCTGGCGCCGCCTTCGCCATGGCGGGTGGCCGGATCTGCGGCTTGGCTTGTGATTGCTGCTTCTGACAACGGCATATATGGCTTATCTAATCGAATCGGGTTAGGGTTAGCAGCTACGGGTTCAGGTCATTGGACGCGACTGCTTCAGATCTACCATGTGTTGCATGGCTCTGGGGCCTGCCATGGCATATGCCTCGTGAATTCAGACAGATATTTCAGGAATGTCGTCATTCCTGCACATCTGCCCTCGTCTATCCCCATCCAGGAGACAGCTTGAATGGCCAGTCGCCCTCGTTTTGGAACTTGAATCAGGTTCTTGGTGTGCATCCTGATCGTCAGTGGGATATAACTTTCGAAAGCAGCATATCTGAACGAGAAGCTACATGGTCCTCTACGTGATTTAAGAGGTTTCTTGGCAACTACAGTTTCTACAGATATGGCTTTTGCAAGCACTGCTTAACGTACGGCAAGTACTAACTAGTAGGCTGATCGTCATATGCAAGATATAAGCTACCATCAGCAGACACCCGAGACCAGACCGTGTATATAACTCCCGACGGCCCCGAGAAGCTCTCAAAATCTGCGTGTAAAATGACAATAAAGTTGTGGTTCAAATTCTGAACGGCGCATCCCAAGTCATTCTTGGCCTGGTTCACGTGCATTCGGCCGAGTTACAACTGGCCTCGCTATGATGGTCAGCGACTGTGTTCACGGAATTGCATCTTTATTATATTTGTTCTGTCTCCTTTGCTAATTTATTTCTTCTGACAGCTTATTTGCAATGGCAGCGAATAGCTCTCCGGCAGCACACACATCGCAGTGGATGAATGGCAGTTAATTCAAGGTGTATACATATTCTGGTCCGTCCCTGGTCCTTCACAGTTCCTGCACTGAAAAATCAGTCGCATTTACCCGATGCCTCCCCAAAGCTGTGCCGGTATCTCTTAGGGTATCCCTTGATGCGGTCCGCTTCAAAGTTTGCTGCAGACTTCTTGATGCCAGTCTATTCAATAGCTTTCGTGCTCGGACCTGCGAGCACCGCTACGTCCGAGTATCACGTTGCTGGCTCTCCGGCCACGGCTTCCGTTACGGCCTTGCCCAATACCACTATAATATCGAAGTTTGAGCTGGGAGGGTCTGAAAAGTACACTGAAAGATATTCCGGCGGCTCGCCATCCATACTCATAAGCTCGTCCACAGTTGTCCTGCGCAGAGCTTCCAATAGGGGGAGGAGGTTTAAACAGATGTTTCTCGATCTTAAGTGATCAAATGGTCAACCTGATGCATGTTAAATCTACACAAGTCAGGCAACCCATTCTGTTCGGTTCGTGAGCATTCATTCATACATGTTGGTTCATTAGCGTGGGAGACAAGATCGATGAAGTGGTTGTCGTGACATAAATGGCTTCTGTAAATTCAACATAACGAACTTCGTCAACACTAGGATAAGTGCCCCGCTGAGATGATAAAATTTCCTTTCAATAAGTAATTGATCTCACGAGTGCACCCTGATAATACCCCATGCCCGAGATGCCACCATTCAAGTGTCAAGTGTCCATACTAAGCTCCTCGCTAGCCGATGTTCCGGATCCTATGCCTTGAGGTTACTCACAGCAGGCGTCCGGTTGGCCAGAGTTTCGTTCGGAACCTCAGCACGATCGATGAGCCACTTCGCCAAAGCGCCCCTCTTGATGTTCCAAGTCCAGCCAGGCTCGCCGACCGATCCCGCGAAGACGACACCCTGCCTGTCATTCCGCCAGCTCCCCTCGTCATGCTCGCCCTGAACCATGCCGACGCGGAAGACTGTCCAGTTGACACCCTCGGCAGTCTCCCGGAATACCTTTGCTATGGCCACATTGGTGCGATAGGCTGCCGCGAACCCGTATTTGACGCCCGTCACCAAAGCGCGACGCACGAAGGAGGACTTATCGTCGCTGTCTTCGACGGACACGGTGGCCAAGACGAGGATGCGCTTGACCGAGTGCTGGCGCACCAACGGAATAATGGTCGAGTAATAGCCCGGGTATGGATACTCCCCTGTAGTCTTTCCGGTCGGTCCCAGAAGGGAAATGATGACTGCAGCCCTTGAAACGACGAGACTGAGCTTGTCTGTATCATCCATCTGGCCTTCTACTACCTATGTTTGGATTAGGTTCCAGAGTCGTGCGTGCGAATAGGCGACTGTTCATCTTACCTCAAGCAGAGGGTTCTTGGTGAGGTCGTCAGGAAGCTTCGAGGCATTGCGCACGTAGGCGACCGTGGCATGTTTGCGGAAGAGGCTCTCGCGCAGCAAACAAACGCCTGCTGGGCCGGTTGCGCCGAAGATGAGGATCGTAGAAGATGCCATCGCTTGATCTGCGTTGATTGTTGGGTTACTTGAACAGAGCGAAAGAGGATTTTTCTCCGCCTCACGAGGAAGAGCGACGGTTCTCAGCTTTAAATCATCTTGTACCATTCCTCCGTTCGTGATAATCACGGATTCAAACAAACTCCGCATCAGTGACAGGATGAATGGTCCCATGTCGCTCTCATCGTCATAGCTCGGAATTCAGTCGCCATATCCCGCGGACTTGCTGTTCGGAAGCATTTTGATGCCGTTGATGCCGGGAACACGATCATTTGCACCCGCCTCGGATCATGATCCGATTTTCATGTCTCAGCTTATCATTGCATGTATTTGCCCTGTCTAATGCCTTTGGTTCAGGTCATGACCTTCGCACCAGGTTCCTTGCCAAGTTGGCAATCACCGCCATGCGGCTGTCATGGTCTCCTGATCTCAGCTCGCCAACCGCCGACTCAAACAACCGCCAGACCTCGATGAACTTGTGCTGCGTCTCCCGGCTTGCACCGATACCGTCGAAAGCCTGCTTCATGTTCTTGTGCATCTTGATCAGGTCAACATCAGCTGCCGTGACGCCGGTTGTCTTGGCCCCTGGATTGCTCTGCGTATGCAGCGCCCCTATCTTGACGCAGTACACCACCAACGCCGCCAGCCCAGCCGCTAGAGCGGTCGCGATGCTGGACCCTGTTTCGGGCTTCCATTTGGCGAGCGTGCCTGGTGCTGGCCGCGAGCTGCGCTGCACCACCTCCACGCCGGGGAAAATGTAGTCGAGTTTGTCGACGGGCCCAGCCCACGAGTACGGAAGACCGTCGTCTTGGGCGGCGCCAATGCGGAATAGGCTGTCGCGGGCACTGGCGCTCGGGTAGTCAGTGTCGGAATAGTGGCCGCCGTCGCTGGAGGAACAAAACATGAGGATCTTCTGCTTGGCAGCAATACGGATCGCCTCGTCAAACTTCTCCTTATCCTCGGTGTCGGTGGGTGGAGCGACAGTCCAGGACATGGAGATGATGTGCGCGTCCTTCTCGACGGCCGCTTCGATGGCCTGAAAGTGTCAGTTGTGGTCCGACTAAAAGGATGAATAAAGATTGAAATTACCTCTGCCGCACTTCGAACAACAATGCTCGTCTTGCCTGGAGTGGACGAAGCTCTTGTATCCAAGCGGATGGCCACAATCTTGACCATGGGGCAGACTCGGCAGATCATGTTTGCCATGACTGTACCGTGGCCCTTTTCCGACACCCAGTATGGACGAACGCGGAAGTCGTCTCCGTGGTCGAATGTTTGACCATCGAGGATCTTGCCCTGGAGAGATTGATCATGCATGTCAACTCCATCGTCGATGAGAGCAACAACGACATGCTTCAGCAGAGGTTGGTCACGAGTTGGCCCCCCGCGACCCTTGCGCATGGCAGTCATCCACACATTTTGAATCATGTCAGCAAAGTTGTCAGTCGTGTCAAGCCAGCGATGAGAAGTTGCCTGCGCCTTGGCCTCTGCTTGCGAGGCAGAGGGTGTAGCACCAAGGGATGTGTCTGCTCTAATGTCGTTGTTGTGTGAGATAACCTGCACGGGTTTGCGACGCGCGAAGGCCAATGTCTCGATCTTTTCACCCTGATCATCTCTGCTTACTTCAGATGCATCATCACCAATGCCGTTGCCGTTGGGAATCGAGATGGACAGTCTAGCCTCGTCTGTTGGTAGCGGTGCCTCTCGAGCGGCTGGAACACAATCCTCATTGAGTCTCTTGCAGAACCTTTGAAAGTACAGCAGGGATCGATCAACGGTCTCAAGGTCCTGGGTCATTGGGTTAACTTCTGCCTTCTCATCGTACCCAGCAGGCAGCTGTGGGGGAATTGTCACCAAGCAAAGGAGAGAGCTTACCCGATGAATGTGCATATGGACCTTCTCCAGATGCCGCAGCCGGCGAAGGCCGTCGTTATCACTCCAGCCCTTTAGCACGGCATTGTTTCCTCGCCAGTGGAGCGTCAGTTCCCTTAGTTCTTCGCTGACGGCACATATCGTATCTGGGTCGAGATCTGGCTTCTGCCAGTCCAGTGCCTCGACCTGAAAGCCAGCCAAGGCCCGCTCGATAGCCTCGTCACTGTGCGAAGGCTGACCGTCGACCTCCTGTACGATGACTCTGATAATGCGCTTAACATTTTTCTTGCGAAGCCAGTCGAAGAAGTAGATCATGTCGGTCCGGCCGCGTCCTAGGTTCTCGAGGGGATAGTCCTCGTCTGCGGCGTTAGTTCTCGGGTGTAGAGCCGGCTTGGGCTCGACTTCAAGACGAGGAAAGGCAACATATTGCAGGACCTCATCAAAACGGAGGTGCTCGAAACTAGCTTTGAAATCGCGAGACTTGATGGCAGCTGGAGCGCCGAAGTACTCGAAACAGATTTGTGTGCCTGATCGTCAGAACTCAGTCAGCCAACCTTCACAACCAAAGCTGAGCACACTGCGCCTGTAACAGGGCGGAATCTTACCAGCCTTATTCTTCCCGTACAAGAACCGTGTCGTCTCGTCCGGAGCTCTGGTCCTCATGCAATGCAGCTTGAGCTCCAAACGGATCTTCGCTGACCACTCCTCCAGCTTCTTCTTCGTTTCCTCAGCTTCTTTTGGATCTTCGACCGTCTTGCGAGACTTGCGTGAAGACTTTTCCTTTGCCGTCTCATCAAATGTGACAGTAGCTTTGCGGGTGAGCGACCGGATCAGCGGATCGACGGCGTCCCCTTTCCGCGATCCATCAACGGGCGGCGGGCCCACAGGCTCACGAGACTTAACATCGGGGTTCTCGTTTCTGCCCTGACCATGGCGCGAACTGGCTTCCTTCTTCTGTCGCGCCTCTATCTCCTCGCGCGCTTTTCTCTCGGCCTCTCGCTTGGACTTGGGATCTAGTTCACGCTTGGGCGCTGCCGGTGCTTGTGGCTCAGGCTGATCCCTGGATGCGTCTTGCTCTCCTGGCGTCCTCGAGTCGGCATTCTTATCCTTTGATCTGGAGCTTGCGGGGGTCCTTGTTGATGCCTTCGGGACGTCGTAGGTAAGGCGAGTGTGCTCTGCATACTGGTACACCGACCGGGGATCGGGAGCCTTGGTGACCTTGAGAAATGCCGTGTCGTCCTTGGCGATGAGTTGCTTGACAACCTCGAGCTGCTCCTCATTCGCACGCTTGAATTCGACAGCGTAATGGAGCGGGGTGTAGCCCTTGCTGTCCTGAGCGTAAATGGCCTCTTTGGGCGCAAGCCTGATAAATTTCTGCTTGACGGCACCCGGCAGATGTCGCGATCGCATGGCAAGGTGCAGGCAGTTCTCGCCCTTCTCACGACATGGCTTAGCAAGGGCCCTGTCGAAGTACTTGCAGCCGTCGATCATGATCTCGGCGAGGCGGCTCATCTTGGAGGACTCGATGGCGATATACAGCGGCGTCTTCTTCTCGCGGTCAGCCTCGAGGAGCAGTCGAGGGTACTTCTGCACAATGTGCTTGACGGGCGACTCGAGCGTCTTGACCGGTATGTCGCGCGTATTGAGAAGAACGTGCAGAAATGTAAGATCGTCGTCCTCAGTTCGGTTCTTCATGGCTTCGCCGTAGGTGTCGAAGAACTGCTTGCGCTGGTCGCGATTGCCGAGCTTGTAGGTCTTCGTTTTGATCTTCTCGATCGCTTCGAAGATCTTCGTCTGAATGGGTTTTGCGACTTCCGGGTCTTCCTCCGACGACGCATGACTCTCATCATCGTCATCGGTCTCATCGTCGTCGTTCTCCGCCTCATCGTCGAGCTCGCTTTCTACAGCGCTCATGTTGTGCTCCTCATCGCCATCTGGTTCGCCAACTGGCAGAAAGGCGCTGCCCTCAATCGGCGTCTTTGGAGTGTCCATTGCGACAGCCACGATCAGTCTCGTCTCATACCTGGAGTCCAGTCACGACGAGCAGGTAGGTATAGCGTCTGAAGTCAAGTCGCGGCATGGCAGCTCGACAGACGGACCACTTGCCAGCATAGCAACACAAGCCAGCTGCTGGAAAGGCTGGCCAAGGGCGACGTGATCGCTCCTCGGCCCCCAAATCCGCCGAGTGATAATTAACCCACTTCTGTTCTGCTGCAGGCGCCCTCACCACTGAGGATGGGCGGGTGGACGGCCAGGTGTAAGCAGGACATGGATTTCACTGGAAGGCTGGCGAGTAGGACAAAGACCTGTAAGCGCTAAGCCAGGGCCCCCCGAACCGAATGTGGGCAGCTGAGCCATGCAGCTCGACCGTCATGTTGCACCCCCCTGAGAGAGGGTCTAGAGGATGGACTTTGGTCACTGTCAGCATCCATGCCACCATGAGCCTGGAACTAGGATGGGATCATGAATGCGATAAATGTTTGGGTATGATCCGACATGTCGTTCGAGCGAGCCAGCTTTGCTAAGAATTTAGGTAGTATTAGCCGTAGCAGAAACGAGTCACTCAGACCCGCAGCAGGTAGGTATTTGCAATGAATCAAGGCCCCGGGCCGAGCCTAGCCTCGATGTCTTGACTTAGACGGGTTTCAGGGCTGTGGACGAGGATGAACAAAGACATTTTGCATGGTGACAACAAAAAATGACCTCAGATGTTATTCAGTCTGAAAAGAGGTCCGAACTGCCTGACTTTGATCTCTGACATCAATGCCTAACAAGCTCACTGTGTTGATCCAATCTTCTTCACTGCACCGTCTCTCACAGTCAGGAACGTGACGTCTGAAACCTTCTCCAGGTCCAAGGCCCCCAGATCCTCCGTGTCATACACCATGAGCTTGTTTGTCGGCTTCTTCGCGGGGTCGAAGAGCACAGGGTCATCTTTCGGCTTTCCACCAAAGAAGCGCTCCATCGAAGTCTTAAAATCGGCCTTGACTTCAATCTTGATCGTCGCTTTGAACCTGGCCTCTTCCTCCGTCCGTCGCAGCAGGATCCCCGCCCTCACGGCAGCCGGCACACCTGTCTCGCGCGCCTCGTTCTCGATAAGCGACCAGGTCGCGCAGTTGGGCTCGCCGTAGTTGTAGCCGATGAGGTCCACCGACCCAATGACTGTTGTGAAGTGCTCCATGTCGCGCGTCACTGTCTTCTCGACCTTGAGACCACCCGACAGCTCGGCGCCTTGGATGGCGCTGAGGCCGAGAGTGCCCTCAGCTCCCCGGGTCACAGACTCGGACTGCGTCGTCGGCGCGACGGAATAGCGTCCATCGAAGGAAATTGCCTCCACAACGGGCCGCGGGTCGTCCTCTGTGAGGCCGTCGAAGACCAGCGAGATTTGCGCCTCGGCCACGCGCCGGGCACGCTTCCGCGGGTCAAAGCGGAACAGCAGCACGATGAGGGTCGCGTACTCGTCCCCGTCGGGGTCGAATTTGCCGTGGACGACATCGACGAGATTGCACTTGATATCGATGGCGCCCTTGCGGTTGGTCACGTTTGTACGCTGAAATGGCGCGCTGGGATCGTTCTTCGTATGGAAGCCACTTTGTTCGTCGCCACCTCCAAACAGGTCAATGTCAAAGGTCTCAGTAGTCTCATCGAGTCCAAGCTCGCTGGCGTCCTTTGTGGTAGCTTCGTCTGCCATGTTGAGCTGGTCTTGGTGCGATAAAGGGAATCAAGTAACGATGGTAGGAAAAGTCCTCGTGTCGTGCTATTATCCCACAGCACCTCATAGAGACTTGAGTCGTCCCATTCCTAAATACTAAAGCGTGCTCCATCTCACAGCGGCAATGCGCCGTTTTTGGTCCCACGACCTTGTCGGTGATACAGAACACACCCGCACCCTGGCTTCAACTCCGACAGGGGGTGTAATCCTTCAGCCCCCACGAGGGATCTTCGTCAGCCCTCATCTGCTGGCTCGCGGGGCTAATTATCAGCTGCATTTCCTGCAGTGTACCCTGCCCGCGCATTTGGCTGACTTGCTTCGGCCTAGACTCGCAATGGCCAGACAGCTTACCCAGTTCAGCCCGTGATCACCTGCAAAGTCATCTAGTCATACTTGCGACTCATTTCGCTGCTTCACATGGGACAGCTGCATGCCACACTGTAGGCCAACAAGCCTGAGCAGAACCACACACAGCAACGATGGCGCGGGCGACATCACCAAAAAGCTCGCGATCCAGCAGTCATGAGAGCGGCGGCACTGAGCGACGCAGAGGCAAGATGTCCCAGGTCATTGAGTCGGAGGACGAAGGCTCGTCTGCAAACGATGATGAAGACGAAGACGAAGACGATGGACCCAACGGTGATGCCGCCTCCCTGAGAAGCAACTCGGAAGATGAGCTTGGTAGTCATGCCGACGACAGGTCGGACGCGGGGTCAACTCAAAGCCGCGACGCCATGGACGACATCAAATCTGGCGAGAAAGCCAAAGACAAAAGCGTCGACGAGAACGGCGACGGGAAAGCTGATACCACTACACCGCCGCCGCCGGAGAGCGTGAGAACACAATCACCGGCAGACCAGATTGCACCTATAGAATATGTGCCGTATGATGAGCCTGATTTTGGCCTCGTGGACGGGGATCGCGGCGTTCTTAAAGATGGCATAGACTTTGAGTTCGTCGCCTTTTCTACCTCTTATCCGTGTGGGCTGAGCTAACGTCGTCGCAGCGTTGTTCTCGTGCATGGCCTCCATGGCAGCAAGGCAACCACATGGTGTGATGAAGGGGAGTCGTGGAACAAAACTCTGATCAAAGAAGACCTGTTTGGTTATTGGACAGTCCGGGAACTATACTACTGGTACGAAACCAACTGGGAGTCAACTCACATTTACTTCCCTGACGGCATCAACGAGGAAGCACAGAAATTGGTGGATGAATTGGTGGAGGCGAGGAAAGGTCTCGACACAGAGGTAAGTGAGCACCTGTGTGAAGCGCCCCTTGCAAGATTATGCCTTACAGAAACGTTTCAATAGAAGCCCCGTCCAATCGTCTTCGTAGGCCATGATATCGGCGGCCTCATCGTCAAGAAAGCTCTTGTCATCGCAGCCTCAAATGCCGCCAAATATGGCAACATTCCTTGGGAGACGTCAACCCTGATCTTCTTATCAGTCCCAAACCGCATCAGAGAGCTGGAGCGACTAGAGGATGAGCTGATCGACCTAATCAGCACGGACACAACGATCCCGGGCCTGGTGCGCAAGGCGTCGCAACTGGCACGCGATATCAGGACGGTCAACGCCGAGTTTCTCGACACCAACATGCTGCTCCGCGCAAGCATTTTCAGCGTGTACTGTCGTGACAACCGCGACTTCGCGACTGAGAATGAAACAGTAAGCGCCTGTGCCATTTCAGACCGCGCAATATCCTCTGACCGGGCTCCCAGACTGGCTCGCCCTTCCCATTCAACAGATTCACGGCCGTCTTCGAGACGCCGTTTGAGTTTTGTTGCCACACATACAGATCGCACAAAAACATCACCCGTAAGCCAGCAAAAGGAGACTCAGACTGGCCCTTGGAAATCAAGAGGGTAATTAATGAACTCCCCTTTTGTAAGTTGTGCCCCCGCCCAAATTCTCCTTGCCGCAGACTGCTGCTGGTGTACTTACCAGTTACCAGATACAAACATCCATGATAGCATAGCAAGACCCAGTAAGAGGCTCCTCTCATCGACTCCTCCGATTTATCCATACTCGGGGAGGGATTATCACGAGGACCTGTATTCGTGGTTCATCGACCATGAATCATGCAACGAGTGGTTGGCAAGCAATCGAGGTCTCAGCATAATGCATGTGCATCATCAAGTCGAAGAGGCAGACAATAGTGCCTCGCAGTCCATCGGCGCTTCACGAGCTGTCGGCATGTCACAGGCCATCTTCACCTGCATATACACGTACCTCAAGGATCATCCATCCAAAGGAGAGAACTGGATATGCTACTTCCGTTTCGATAAGACCGATGCGCGTTACAGGGACATCAAGGCGATGCTCATAACATTTCTCACCATGATCATTTCCCGCTTTAGCTTTGACGTCGGCAGTGCTGCGGAGGGGATGGAAGATTTTGACAGGAACGTCAATGTTAGCGACCTGGTCGACATCTTCCAGGGCTTTATGGGGCTACGAGACAACTACAACACGGAGAAAATCACGTTTTGCGTCGGCTGTTTCGACCAGTGCGAGGAGGAGTCCCGCAACTGGTTTTTGAGAGAGTTGATCCGACTGGGAAGTCTCAAGGAAAGCCGTGACAAGTGGCTGTTCGACAGTAGCGATCCCGACTTCCTCAAGGCGGAGGAGGTGCCGTCTGGCGGTATTTGGAGGATCAACGCCGCAGACGCGGCGACGTGGCGTCCGCGCAGTCCGAGTTCCAACTCTCAGGCGAGTGTCAGCGTGCGAGGGTCCAGCCCAGTACCAGAGCCAGACGTGGCAGTTGCGGGATCTGTCGTCGGCGACGGGAATACCCAGAAGAGCGGCGATGCCGTTGTCGATGGCCCAGATATCCATCCTGATACAGAATCAAAGAAGGATGATGCCGAAGCTCCAGCTGCCGACCAGGTATCGAAAACGGATGGCGATATCCTCATTGAGATCCCTCAAAACACCTCAGAAACTCCAGCAGCGGATGATGACCCTGTAGCGGGCGAGGGAACCCCCACTTCAGAGGTTGACGATGCCGTGCCGGTCCCAGCCATGAACTCCCGGATTTTAAGGGTGCTGGATGACAGGCCAGTGCTCCACCACATCAAAGAGGAACTCAAGGCTCTAGTCTGCCAACATAAGGGCGAGACCACGAAACCCGCCTGTGCTGTTCTCGACTGGCTCTTCCGCAAGAGCCAACACGCCACAATGGCCACAGTCGAGGCGCTTGTCGCCAGGCCAAAGTCGCTTGGCCCTGATGAAGTTTTCCGGAGCATGCTTGACTTTGTCGACCAGGAGACCCAATCCCAGGCGCATAGGCTCGTCACTCTTCTTCGACACACACTGCGACCACTGTCGAGCCACGAAGCCGCCGTTGCTCTGACCGCCATGGCGCATCCTCGAGCGACACTCACGGGCGCTGATGTTGCGGGCATAATCGACCCTCTGCTTCACAACTTCCCAGGCGTTTTTGAGTTGAGAGGCCAAGAGATCTTCGTCTGGTCCCTCTTTGAACCATTGTCGGAAGAAATGGACTCGAAGGCCCATGGTGCGATGGCAGAGTTATGTTTACAGTACCTGCTCCAGCCGGACGTCCATCCTCTGATCGAAGAACACTCTGACAATGTTGCCAAAGACTCCTGGGTTGCTTTTGAGCCTCGTCGCGACTTTGTTTCCTATGCAGCCCGGTACTGGTTGGACCACTACCGTCTTGCCGGCTCGGACGCCCCCAAAGAGTACGCATACTCCTTCTTCGGCGACGTAAAGGCATCAAGGTCCTGGCGAGAGGCTGCCATCAGTCGTATGATGTTCGGATTTCCGCTTCGCCACTACTTTTCCCCCATTCCCCAGATTGCGTCGACAGGTCTTGACGATCTTCTTGATCGACGCCTCGAGGAGGACAAGGACTCGGCCACCTTTTCAGCGGACTGCGACCTCGCGTTGAGCGAGGCAGCATCCAGCAACCACAGTTCTGTCGTTTCTCTGCTCATCGAGAGAAGGGATCCGAGTCCAGCGGCACTCAAAGACGCCTTTCGATTCGCAGCCGGCGACGGATGCGACGCTGTCGTCGAGGTTCTCATCGAATACGCATCCCGTGACGGTAACGCCGCCAAAGTGGAATGGCCCGACAACTTGCTATCCCAGCTCAGTGACCTGGGGAGGCACGATCACTTGCGAAGACTCCTTGCGTTGGGCCTGAGTCCAGATCCCAAGGACTCCCACACTATGGAGCCATACTTTCCCTCGCCACTCTCCGTAGCTCTGTCCGGCCCTCACCTTGAGGCAACCAAAGTGCTTGTTGACGCCAAAGCCGACATTCTGGCGGTGGGGAAGAAAGGCGCTCGGCCCCTGACGGTAGCCTGTCTAGTCGGCGACCCTGAGATTGTCAGGCTTCTCATCGAAAAGGGCGCCGAAATCGAGGCGCAAGACGAGAACGGCGTGACAGCCCTGCAAGGCGCCACAGACTGGGGCCGGCTCAAAGCGGTCGAAGTCATGCTAGCACACGGGGCTGATCACTCCTATGGGCAGACCGACGACAAAGAGGCCAATTCGACAACTTGGAAACCCATCGTACAGGCCTCCCAGAATAATTACGCCAAAATTGTGGCCCTGCTCCTGTCCAAAGGGGCCGATGCCAACGCCAACGGACCCAGTGGCTGTGCGTTGTACCTCGCTGCCAGAGGAGGACATGTCGACGTTTGCAAGATGCTGCTTGAGAACGGGGCCGTAGCCAACGTGTCAACGACAGAATTTGCCTCGCCTCTCTCTGTTGCCGTTGAGACCGGCAAATTGGAACTCGTTCAGCTGCTGCTAGATCACGGGGCTGAGATTGAAGCTGTCTTCAAAGGCACCGGGGATGATGACACCAAAGACACGCCTTTGACCATCGCCGCAAGGCAAGGTTTGACAGAGATTGTGGAGCTTTTGCTGGAACGCGGGGCTAATCCGAATCACTACGAGGGTGATCTCGACCCCCCGTTGTACTTAGCAAGCTGGCGTGGCCATGTCCTGATCGTCAAGATGTTGCTCGAGAAGGGTGCGGACCCGAACGCACAGCTGGACGGCCAGGATTGGACCGCCGTTCATGCTGCGTATGACAACCCAGAAGCTATGCGGCTGCTGCTCGCAAAAGGGGGTGATCCGGATCGTGTGGCAGACTCGAGTACGGCCTTGCTTCTAGCAGTCAGGTGGGATAACTTGGGAACTCTGAAAGCGGTACTCGAGCGGTCCCCGCGACCGAATCTTGAGGCTGAGGATGACGAACATATGACGGCTCTATGCCGCGCGTGTCAGTCGTCATCAGATGATGCGCCAGAAATGATTCGAGCTCTCTTGGACGAAGGGGCGGACCCGAACCATGGCGCCGGTACGGACAACCTGCCTCTGCACCACTGTCTGAAGCAAGAGGCATGCTTGCAGGCATTGCTGGAATCCCGACCCCAACTGGATGCCAAAGACAGCCAAGGTGATTCGGCATTGCATCTTATCCCATTGCTTGCAACAGGGAACGTTCTTCGAAAATTAGTCATGGGAGGGGCAGACATTGAAGCTGTCAACAACGGTGGGTTGACACCTCTCGCAAAGGCCGTGAAAAGTCCCTTCAACGACGTGTCGGCCTTGTACTTAATCAAGAAAGGGGCCCAGCCGAACTTAACAGCTCCAGGTTTCGAAGGAATTCTCCACGAGGCTGTCCGAAACTGCGACCTTCCAGTGCTCAAAGCGCTCGTGAAAGCTGGTGCAGATGTCAACGCGCTCAGCGGTGAAACAGGTTCATCCATACTGTATCTGATGGCACGCTACTTGAGTAGCAGCATGACAGGGACCCGGGAGACGCTGGAGTATTTCGTGGAAGAGCTCGGTTTGCCGGTCAACATCTATGGTGGACCACTCGGGTGGCCATTGACGGCGGCGGCTCATAGGCCGGGCGTCGCCTTCGAGTACTTGCTGGAGCATGGGGCCAACACTGAAGTTGAGGATAGCATCGGTCGACGGCCAACACATGTGGCTGCAATAGGGCTAGATTTTGGGCCGGCATTGCGATCACTCATATCACGCGGTGCCTCGGTTTTGACGTCCGACAAGATGGGTTTGTTACCAGTGCACTACGCTGCTCACGGCGGGCACCCCGAACAGCTTGAAGTCCTGCTCGATCAACCGGGCGTTTTGGTCAACGCGCCCGACACTGACGGATGGACCCCGCTCATGTGGGCTTGTACCAACAGACGGTTCCCAGTCGAAAGGATCAACCTCTTAATCGCCAAGGGCGCAGATATATGGGCACGAGGAGATGGCTGGGACCATCAGTGGTCCCCGCTGCGACTGGCGAGGTTCAACGGCCTTGACGCAGAGGTTCAAGCTCTGCTGCAGCCGGACAGCGCAGCCAAAGGTAGTGAAGGTGTCGAGCCTGAACGAGTATGGGACGAAGAGTTTCACCAGATTGAGGAGGGCAATTGGTCACATGGCGAATGCTTTGCTTGCATGTCGGTGAGTCGTGCCCCGACATGGGACCAACCCTGACGGCCTTGGAGTCGTGAGCTGACGTGCGTTTGATCCTAGGACATGAGCGGAAAACGCTGGCGCTGCATATCGTGTCCCGTGGAATCTTTTGTTGAAATCTGCTTCAAATGTTATCGATACAAAGAGATGATCCACGGACAGCATGAATTCAAGGAAGAGGGATTCGAGTTTGAGCATGAGAGGTTGAAAAGTCTGGAAGCAGCTGGGGCGAACACGCCTTTTGGGGACCATGGCGATAATGCATCCGGATCGTTGTCAGATGATGGCGAGACCGAGCTCAGGATAACGAAGAGAGATCGCCGCGCAAGTCGCAGCAGCAACAGCGACAGTAGGAGCGACAGCAGTATCGGTATCGAGGACGAGGATAGTGACGAAGGCCTCAATGAGGACGAGAGTAGTGGGGACGAGAAGTAGAACGCCGACACATGTTGTATCCAAGGTAGAAAGAACGCTGCGGTAGGGCTTTGGATGAAGCTGATCTAGAGGCATCAGAGTACACCGCATCATCGCCCATGTGCATCAGGTGTATTCTCGACAGATACACCGACTCTATAATTGAATAACCGAGTCAGCAGGTCGGACGGCGCGTGGAGATCCAGCCCGCACTGTGTCTGAACCTGTTTGAGGGGCAGCAGGTACCACGCATCTATCTTATCACCTGGACCTTCCCCTCTATCCCAACTCCATCCCGTGACGTTCGTCATCCAGGCCCAGGGCCGTCAAACAACGCGCAGACTACGCAACAACACCCTGCCTCGATCAGCTCTTCGCGACAGCAAACCGCCCTCCCTTCCGACTTTCGTTGTCTTTCAACATCCGAATGCGCTCTTCGCCGATTTAGCTCTACCTTCCCACGCCAGGCTGAGGACCTCTGGTAGGCCTCCTTGACCTCAACTCCCCACCATCGACCAGCCATGTCTCTCTTCGCCGCACAGCTTCACCCAGGCCGGGCCTTGGGGTTCCTCAGTATGCTATTCCACGACCTTGTGCTTGGCTCTTCATCATTCCGCTGCTAATCAGCACGTCCTGTCAGTTCTCGGCGCCTCGCTCCATGATGTCCTGACCAGACTCAAGGCCGAACCCCAACGCTTCCCGCAGCTCGACCTCGCTTACTCTCGTGAACGTCCAATAGAGGACCCTGTGTCTCTCACCCTCCCTGCCAACGGCCTGCGCTTGCGCTTCGACGGACCAGAGCAGCGTCTGCGACTGATTGAGATCATCGACTTCACGAAGAACCACATCACGTTCAAAGATCGTGACCTTGTCAAACCTGCGAACGCGCAAGGTCCGCCCTCGTCGCCCACGCCCGGAGAATCGAGTGCCGGACCCACGTTTCGACATATATACCACCGGCTTCTGGGCCCGACCTATGGCGGCGAGTACATTCCTCCGACGGCTGACTCGCCGGACGACGTGGGAAACTACGTGCTGTCGTACCCAGGCGTGGCCTTCACCTTTCGCCTCGCGCAGTCGGCCTACTCGCCCAACAAGGACGTCGTCTCTCTCCTCTCATCCTCCGCCGCCCAGATAGCGACGTCTATGGCTGTCTTCGCCGGCGACTCGTGGTCACAGGCGCGAGAGAACATCTGGAGCGAGATCCTCCCCAGCATCAAAACGGTACCTGTTCTTCCAAGGGGGAAGGACGTGGTACCCGATGAGATATCGCTCGTCAAGATACACGGGGGTGGAAAGATTCAGCTCTTTCGTAAGTGGACGGGCGCATCCTTCTGGGTCAGGCTCGGCGAGACGACGCCTCAGGAGCTCGTGGCCGAGCTGGGACCCCCGAATGCGACATACCGCAAGAACGACCAGAGAATGACCATTCACAAGATCCGCACCGCAAGTCACAGCCGCACGCGCGCCAACGGGACGGATACTACGCGCCCTGACGAGCTGACTGACACGGATCAGTCGTCGGCGCACACGGGCTCCGATGACTCCAACGACGAAGTTGTTGAGGACGATGCCGTGGGCCGCGTAGGTGGCGAGTGTTTTTACAACTATTTCTACCTCGGGTTTGATGTCCTCGTTTCGACACCTAATCCGCCATCACAGCCTCCCCCAACCACTGACACGACGACACTGCCGCCGAGCAGCACGGCGATCTCCGAGTCCCCAGACCGGCTCGTAGCGACAAAGTTGGTGCTTCACGGAAACGTGCCGGGTTCCTACGAGTTCAACCGTCATCGGAGGTGTCGGTGGGAGATTAGCTATCTTGAGGATGACGCTGCTGGTACAATAACAGCCAACTCGGAGGCCAGGTTCACGGACATCGAAGAGAGGCTGCACGAAGCGTGGAAGGGCCTACTACCAAGCGGAGATGGGACGCAGAGGCAACGGGGCATGGTATTGAACCGTGGATGGGGCGATAGCCCCGGAAGCAGCGTCGAGTTTCTCGGTGGCTGGGAAGACAGCGGCGGCCATGGTGGCGTGCAGAAGCTGGACGGCGGTGATGATTCGACCACGACGCTTTATGGTTTCCCAGGGCTCGTGTTTGAAGTTCTCAAGAACGGGTTGGTTAACACATTGACGGTATTCTAGGCATGGTTCTTTTTTCTTTCTACGCAAGGTTGCGAAAGGCGTTGAACCCGGCAGGCGTATGATCATGGTCCCCTTTGGGGGGGGCAGAGGGGTGGCAAATAGGTCAGGCGCTGTAGAGTCCTCTTGTTGATAGTACTGCTGCAATTATTGACTATTGATTCTTTACAACCAAACTCGATTCGCAATCTCGTCAGAAGTGATATGGCACATAGAGAGCAGCCTAGCTGACTTCTGGTACTGAACACACGCTTCAGCCGCATGCACTGTGTACGGGCTGTTCAGGTAGTTAGCCACACTGTATCATGGTCCATCGCTAGTGGGCATGTTCAACGAGCTTCATCACCCTCTTCGCTACCTACCGTACTCAACCATGCGCCCCACGGCGCCAGTCGCGCTGCCTGCCGATACCTCGCCATGGGCACTCCCGAATTCGATCGGTTCTTTGACCTTCCCCCTGAGATTCGCGAGGAGATCATTTCCTACCTCACCACCGCCCCAGATCTCATACCCCTCAACCCTCTGACGCCTTGCACCCCCTTCCCTCACGATCTCTTCCTCTCTCACCCCCTCCTCCATGCGACGGCCTCGTTGCTCTACTACACCTCCAACACGTTCATCCTGGACCTGACAGCCCACGCCCGCGCCGCCACCGAACGCGCCCTCGCCGACCCCTACCACAACATCCTCCTGACCCCCTCCGCCCGCCGCCGCATCCGCCACCTCACATTCCGCCCCGCCCGCCTCGGCACAGCCTTCACGGCCCTCGTGCTGCCGGCCCTGACAGACATGATCCTCGCCGGCAGCCTCCGCCATCTGACGGTCCTGATGCCCGTCCGCCGGCACCGCGGCCCCGTAGCCCCGAACCGTCCCGCCCCGCCGCCGACGCAGACCGAGCGCGCCGAGGATGCCGCCTTTGCGTCGTCGCCCGCCTTCCGCGCCCTGCTGCGCCTGCTCGCCGACCCGGACCTCGAGACGGCGCGGCTGACGGTCCTGGCCGCGCACAGGCCGCTGTGGTGCGCGTACCACGACGAGGGGGCCGCGTGCTGCTACGCCGGGCGCGGCCGCGGCGTGGCTGACGTGGACTGGCGGGCTCTGGCGGCCGAGTGCGCGGGCGAGGACCCGGAGCTGCACATTGCACGGGTGGGGAGATGAAGCCTTTCCTGGCGTCGGCAGTGATCAGATCTTCGCACGGCGCAACATCTCGGGCTCTGGCTTGTCACGCAGGCTGTGATCCTGCGGCAAGCTGATGGTCATCTGCAGCCAATCCCCCATCGCAATCCCTATACACAGTGCCTGCAGCTACATTGTCTGCCAGAGAGCAAGCTAGTGTGGACGCTTTCCAAAGCGCGAAACTCGCTCTCACTCACAAAGGGTCGTCAGCATCATGCAAGCCGACGCTCACACGTGAGAAGCGCAGAGTCAAGATGGCTTCGCAGCGGAAAACAAACATGCACGATTCGCAATCCTGTCCACAGGGGAAAGCCGCTTTGGTCCGTCCGACCTTCGCTATTCTTATCCTGAAGCTCTCCCTATCACCGTGACAAGGCCGCGTTCCAGAAAGCAAAGCAAGCCAAGCGGGACAGACCACAAAAACAAAAAAAAAAAAAAGATCAGATGGCACCGCCGAACGAGCCGCACGAACCACACACTTCTCCTATCCCCCTAAATATAGGTAGGTAGCCAAGCAAGCGCATCAACGCTCGTTTTAAGCTTGTTTCCCACACCATGACCCATCACCACACGAAACAAAACATCCCACCCGCCAGCCCGGCCGGGCCCCCAATCCTCACCACTCCGCCATGATCTCGTCGCCGCAAACACCGAATGTCCCCCCCCTCCTACAAAGTACGGCATGGGAATTAGTAACAGGGCAGAAAACAAGCCACCCGCTCGCTCTACAGTCGTCCCGCCCCGCGCTTCCCGTCCGTGCCACACACGCCCCCTCCTTTGTCCACCTTGCCAGCAAAGCGTACGCATGTGTGTATGTGTGTGCAACCAGAGACCGATTGCTGAGAAGTTGACCGATTTCCATGACTAGCTCGATTCGCAAAGCAGACACGCACAGTCGTCCTTCCCACCCAAACCCCCACAGCTCATCAATGCCGTGGCACATTGTCACGGGCACTGATGGTCTTTCCCCTCCGTGACCCCCCATTCCTCACCAATTTAGACTTAGACTCATCTCACACGCGTGAGACATGCCCGTCTCATCCCGCCCCTCGGCACATTCACCGCCACGATCGACACCACCGCAGCTTCTTCCGCCGCCCTCGTCATCAGGCATGCTGCTGAACCCAGCCAAGGCCTGCCTGGCACGGCACCTGATTGACATTCGGGCCAAACAGAGAATGTCGACGACGGGCATATTTCACATGCCAAGAGGCCAGGAAAGAGACAGTGAGGCGACAAAACCAACACGGCCAGGCCGGCATGATTAGGTTGATGCGCAAGCAAAGTCAAAACTTCATGTCGTCATTTGTGTGTTCTGTGAGGCTTCCAAGTTGTTATCGCTTTCTGGAGTACCGACCGCCCTAAAGATTTGACAGGCAAACAAAAAGCAATATCCCATTCTAGCGCTGACTCCCCAAGCTCCCGTCGTAGGTTCCACCAGATAAACTCGAAACCCATGAAAGACAAAACATGCTCGCTGCCTGCATTCCCGTTTCCCCGCGTCCACATGTCAGCCTCGCCCTCAGATGCCCTGCATCATCAGCCGTTGTCATGCAACGGGCGCTTGTCATGATCCAGCATGGTAACGAATGTCCCTGCTGACAAGAGCGACGATTTACTCGCGGTCATCAGGGTGCTCGCCGTAGTGAACGGGGCCCAGGCGCAGGAACTGCAGGCCGGCGGCGTTCGAGTTGGAGCTGCTCACGCTGGAAGAGCGGCGAGCAAGAGGGCGGCTCGCATCAGGAGCTTGAGGATAGGTGGAAGAGGTAGTAGGCGCCAGCGAAAGGAAGTTGGTAGGGCGGCCGGGGACGGCGAAGCTGCTCGCCTGCTCGAGCTGAGGGGAGGAAGAAGGAGAAGACATTGTGAATGATGTTTGTCGGTTGGCTAAAACGGCGTCGTAGGTGTTCAAACGTAGGAGTGTATTTTCGAGAGGTTGTGTTTGTGCGAGATGCAGGTTGGTAGCTTGGGCTGATGAAGAAGAGATGGACTGTTGGATGCAGCAGGACAGCATCTCATATTTATATACCAGGCCACACACGGCGGTAGACTGAGCACCACCAGCTCGGACGTGATGAGCTAAGTTTCCAAGGGTGTCAGGCCACCTCAGCACCACGACAGGTGGCCACAGGAATGCCGCCTCGAGCAGAGGGTGGACGACCGTCTCGGGCTGGGAGGGGGGAGACGTGCAGGCGGGGAGCGACCTGAGATCAGAACCACCCCCAAAACCAGTGCTCGGCCGAAGATGCCAAAAAAAAAGACCCCCACTGTACCGAAGGCCACGGTGTTTCACCCACCTTCTGCGCCCAAATCAGAGACGATGGGGCCGCAAAAGCTCCATGACCCAGGCCCAAAAAAGAATCTGGATCGCATCTTCGTCTCGAGACCCCCTCACATCATTTCGCAGTGTCTCTCGTTCTGTCCCCGCTGCGGCCTGCCGCGCCAGTAACAACAGCGCGCGCTCGCTCGCACACACACGTGGGGCCGAAATTCAGTCAATTGGCCCTCCGTTGAAGAGAGCAACAGAGGCGCAATGATGATAGAGGAATGCGTAAGAGAAAAGCCGCTGTTGCCCCCAGTGCCAATGGTACCCGCAGGTGGCGCAAGGGTGGTGCAGCTGGTGCTGGACACCCAGTAGAGAGAGAAAATTGGAGGTTGTCATGTGTCGCGCGGGGCGCGGGGAGCGAGCCCCAGGTAAGAGGTCATCACAGGTGGTTTCTACGACTCCAGAAAATCGACGGCGCCGGCCCGGCGTGGATATCGTAGCATCGTCAGCAGATGTGGAGACATTCGGCTCAGATGTCAGATTGTCTTTCCATGTGCTCCGAGCCAAGAAGCCGGTTCAACGGTGCCCTGGCCGTCTTCCATTGGGTCTCCGGCGCATGTCAAGAGGATTTCTCGGAACGACGATAATCACCGCAGCTGGAGCCGGTCGCCCGCCTGCTTGCCGATGCCTTACCGAGCCTTACTGTGCCAGTGACAGTGTGCCACACACTCTCACGGTGCCGGGCATACGGCAATTTTTCCTTTCCGTCTACCATTTTCTCGTGCATTCTGTGTATTCCGTGCTCGCAGGTGAAAGGGTGTGGAGGTGCGGGGGTCAGTCGGCAATCTTCTCCTTGCCAGCGATTCACACCCAGTCATTGTCCACCATTAGCCCTCATAAAGGTTGTCCGAGTCTAGCCGGGGAGCAACAGGCCTGGCATTTTCCTGGCCTTGGCAAGTTTTAGTCCTCGGTGTCACTTGCAAGTCAGGTATGTGATTTTCGGGGGAGGATCTCGTGACCTGCAAGTATGTTCCCTCGACAGCTCGTGCTCGACTCACCTTCCACCGGGTATGCATCTCGAAAGGGGACTGCAGACTCATCAAATCAGCTGACAGGCCATGCGTTTTCAGGTCATGACGAGGCTTCAACCACTCCACCTCCAACCCATGACCACCGCACCACTTAAGGACAGCCGTTTGGCCGGCATATGGTGAGTGACGAAAGCTAGATCACTTCACCACTTGTAACGCATTGAACGGTCAAGTCGGCTGGCGTTGCCTACTTCTTCGGGTTCGTGGTTGGCCCTGCAAGGATGGAAGCGTCCGTCGTCGTATCGGTTTGCCCTCTTCTTCTGAGGTAGAGGCTGGCTTCACGTGGCAAAAAAAGAATGTAGCCAAGTGCTATTCGATCTGCCCGAGTCTTCCACAGGCTTTGACGGATCAATCTGCATTCCCGAGATGATTGACCCAACAGAGGCCAGATCTGAAGAGACTAGAATCTGCCCACTCTCAAGACGAATGACGGTAGGTTCCGCGGCTGCTAAGGTCGCCAGCTATGCGACCAGACGGGCCGCGGCCGCGGCACCCCTGGGAGCTTGGCATCCAACTGAGTCAATTTCAACTTCGTTGATGACCGGCATGCCGCATCGTCCCATGAACAGACCAACTCATCACCGGCTTGAAGTCCCTGCCGAGCCAACAGTCCTGTTGAGGGGTGGCCGGAGTGCGCTATACTGCCACAAAAGAAAGGCATTGTGATTCGGTCATGCATTAGCGGAGATGATTTGGCAGTGTTACCCGAGCGGCGAGCAAAGCAGAGTTTTTCCAATAGTACCAGGGGTGACTTGGAACCCCCTCTCAAGCCACAGAAGAGGCATGGAGCTGGTCAACGTAGGCAGGAAACTGATTGTGCTAGCCGGAGGTCTCATCCGGCCAGGCAATTGATTTGTGGGGGGCGGGGATTACGAGTGCCACATGTTGTTGGTATTGATGGGTGTCAGGGTCAACCAGAACGGGGATATTTCGCCTGTTTCGATCAGCTTCATGGGGCACAATAGCCTCGGGCAGACGCCATCATCCTCGATACAGCCCTGCTCGACTGGTTACGGAAAGATCGGTCCGTTAACAGTATGTCGACCGCGTTGTCTCGAGGTCAGACGCTGCAACCGTGTTGGTGACGGTGTGGTTCAACCTGCAGGTTCATCTTAGCCGTGAGCAGACCGCGCGCCGCAGGCCTCAGGCGTTCGGCGTTATACAATCATCTAGCCAGACCGCCATGTTCGATTGTGCCAGGGGTTTCGCTTTTCGACATGGCCGCAGCTTGATATGGAAGTTGAGAGGCAAGACCAATCACGAAGTGGTATGTTGAATCGCATACGATCTTGTGCTGGACACCTGATCGTATAGAGCTGGGCTGTTCCTTGTTTCCGTGATCAATAGTCGGCACGTTACAAATTACGTCGTCGATAGCAGTTGTCTGTGGTCGTCTTAAAAGGGGCGTGCGGCTACTCGAGCGGTAGTAGTGGCTGATGGCCGAGTCGTGAACTGGCCTCGGCGCTTAGGTCAGAATGTTGGTGCTGATTGGTGGTTGCCAGCGCGCATGCGGTTTCGTCACACGCTTATCGCATGCCCAGGTGTTGGAGCTCGTCTGTTGCGTTTCCGAGCGGGAAAATTGATGCCTCGATGACCTCTTCTTGTGTTTGTCCCCGCAAGCCGGTCCTGGAGGTGGGCACGGGGCCGGTCGAAGTGGCTTCTGGCATGCAACTTAGTCTGTCAGGTATCCACCAAATGCAACTTGTCCACCGCGTTAATGAGCGGTAGACAACCGATACACGCCTCTTGCGTGCTTAGCTCGTCTCGTTTGTCGGCGCAGACGACCTGAATGAGCTCATGATGCACGCAATGCATGCGCATGTAGAGGCAGCCTGCCAACGTAGGTCAAGCTCTGGTTGAACCTGGCAAGTTGAGAAGGCGCGCGTGCCTGATGGTAGAAACCTTGTTACCCCCCTCCCCCCTCCCTCATCTTACCTACTGTATTGGCAGCAGTCGGCGATCGATTATGATGGCTTGCCACAGTCCACAATGGACGGTCCAACAAGCGTGGTGAGGCATATGCGTGAGCTTCCGCCACTGTTGGCATCCCGCAACGGACACGACTGGCTCTATCCCATAGCGAATACTCGTGCGGTCATGGGTAATTCTGTGGAGAAACCTTGAAAGTGGTTGAATTACTGACTCCCCCCTCCCGCGCCGGTAGACGATTGCAGCTCAGTTCGGAGCACGACGGAGGAGTTGCATACCTCAGCAATGCTGATGGTGGCTGCGCAGGCAGGTGCTTGTTCTAGAAGGTGCCCGACTGCCGTAGAGTCAACTATGTAAAGCCGAACGAAAGTCTTCATTCATGGCTACACCTGTGTATTGACACGAAACGGATTGAAGATGCGGCGCTGCACTCTTGCCTGCCGTAGTCCGTTGGGTTGGGAGCCAAGTGAGGTTGATAGGGTTGGCTAATTCAGCAAAATTAATGACTTTGGGACCACGAGGGTGATGCCTGACCAGGAGAGCTCACAGATGATGCCGGTAGAGAAGAGGGGGTTGCAGGTCGGCCGCATGAAGGCTTTGAGCATGGTTCGATGGATCGGTAACTCCAGCTTGCGTCAGTGGTCTTCGATTTGCGGCCAAACGAGTCAGGACGCAGGCGTTGGTTTTTTATCTAAGCGGACAGCCAACACGAGCTCCCAACCAACAGAATCTCGGTGAGAGTTAGTTGTTTTGTGATGGACGCCTTGAAAGCCGAAAAGAGACGAGGCGGCATGGTGGGAGACCACCTCTCTTCGTAATGTCCCGCGCGGAGGCTGCATAACCTTGCTCTGCCCAGACCTCAGAGCTTTAAGCTATTTTCAATCAAACTCGAGATAGTTGAGCCGACGGGAGACAAACTTGGTCAGCGGCATGCCGAGACAGTCAGGGGCAGGGAATGAGTGATGGTGCGCAGGAGCTGGCCAGCTGCCCGTGGACCATGATCGCGCCACCACTAGGGCTAGTAACAAATCGAGCGACGGCATCTTCAATCAGTTCGCCCTCGCTTTGACGACTCCGCTCCATGTTTCATCCGAGAGAGGAAGGTGGAAGGTCGACGACGTGTCCACGGGGGGCGGTGATGTTGGTGATATTGCCCCAAGCTAGCCAGAGCTGAAGAACTGGCGCACTTTGGTGGTGTGCGTCTGGCTACAGGCACCTACCCTTCGTTATGCTTGGAGACCATCAAGTATGTCTAGAGAAGGAGTCAATCGTCAAGTCAAAACCCGGAATGACTCAAGCACCGACAAAAAGCAAAGACAGTCGTGTTGATGAGGTGCGCGAGAAGTAGAACTGGGGCGTCATCCCGAATCAATCCTGACCCCAGCATCACTTGCCTCCAGGGTTCGTCTCGTGACCGTTGTCGTTCAGAACCGAGAGCCAGGAGCCAGGAGCGTTGGGAGAAAAGAGGACAGGGAAGCACTCACCAGATGCAGGCAGTCGCTGCCTCATTGTACCATTGCCATGTGTATCGAACCTGCCCAGTTCCAGGTCCTGTCTGCCTGCAGCGACATGGCAACCTATGTACTTGTACCTAGGTAGACAGGGGTAGGCGAAGTGGTGGTGATGCACTTGACACAGTGCGTCCGTGCAGAATGCCGCTTCTCATTGCTCTAGAACTCAAATCACAAGTCAAAGGCGAGAACGATAATATACCCCCACACACCTCTAACACTGTGTGCAATCCCCCAGAGCCGCCATATGCACAGGCCCCCCTCCCCCTCAACCACCCCAGCTCCCCGTCACCTTTTTCACTCCAGGTACGAGGAGTAGGCATGGTGATTGTCGCCCCGTTGGTCTAGATGCATCTTTGTGCACTACTTCCACTCACGAATGCAGTTGCTAAGTCAACATGGAGAAAGAGGAGGTTGAATAATCGATGAAGACAGGTATTCAACCACTCGACGACATGGCAAAATCGATGTCATACAGAGAACAGGCAGTGTGGCAGGGGTTCCAGAAGCCAGGGCATCATCTCGACCCGTGTGTTGTTCAATGATTCCGATGTACCTACCTACGTTGGACTTGCCATGCAAGCTTGCGATTGCACTCACGTTGTCAACGATCAATCGACGTCGGTCGGTTCTCAACACCTTCTGCCCCGGACCAAACAGGCCGATCTCGACCTTGCCAGTTCCGGGAGCCCTGTTGAGCAGTCGGTACGGCTTGGGACTTCATTCCTTGCTTGCGCATGGGGCCGTCGTCGACAAGCTGGCTCGGCTCGACTCAGGCATGCCAGCTACCAATGCAATGCAGAACGACCACCATCGCCACGCCCCTCTTCGTCGGCGGCGCCATCCCGCCTTCAGATCGACATGGTCAGAATAATGTGATAGTGATGACCTCGCTGTCCCTGCGTCCTACAGGGCACGGCTGCGTACATCGCGGACAGCGGGCCGGGGAAGGGTCATTTGCATTGCACACACGCACAAAGTTGCGGGTTCACTTTGTGTGCACATGAAAGCAAAAGAAAAAAAAAGAGAAACACGCACATCTGGTACAGCTTGCAAGAAGTACAGCATCCGACGAACCCACCGCACCACGTCGCCGCACACGAAGTTCTTGATCCGATGCTGCAGCGTCGCATAAGGCAGAAAACCATTCCCCATGGCCTTGAAGCAGGCAAAGCTGGTCGCTGGTCAGACAGTCCGTTGTGTAGTCATCAAGCCTGCGCAGATCGAGCCAACACAGCGAGTCTCCAGATTCGATTTTCTTCTGCCCAGTTTCCCTGTCAAGGAGAGCTGCTAATCTCATGCATCACCGCAATCAAAAGCAGGCGGGGGACCGGCCACGTCCATGACATGGACTAGCCGACGTACATGAACCGACGCATTCACACGCTGGCACGCGGTTGGCAGAGTGTCAAATATGGAGACCTTGATACACCGACGCACGCACGTACCCTCTCTAATTGAAAGTCAGATCGGGCCTGGCTGGGGACACCCCGGAACCAGACCAACTGATGATCGCGTTTTGACACTCCCAGAGCTCGCACCGCGGGCATGCTATTTCTTGGGGAAATCGTCTCTTCTCTGCCCTCCACCCGGCCCTCCCCTGCATGTACATTGAATCCTTGTCCTTGTCTGGCAGCATGACTGGCGGACGTGGTCAGGCGCAGGCCGCTCAAGCAGCGAAGGAAAGGAATACGATGTCTTCTTTTCTCATCGTTCTCTCCGTAGCTCCCTTGGCGTGTTTTCCTCGTTCGATTGCTTTGTCCCTCGAGCCGGCTCAGCAAGCCACACATCTCTGGCGTCGCTTCTCCGGGCTTTTAATCAGCAGCTAGGCTCACAGGGGCTTGAAGAAGGCGATTAAAAGAACAAAGGCATCCTAGTACTGGCCATGCCTGAACCAGTTAACCACGGAACACGCACTGCGGCGCTGCCATGTGTGACATCTTAGCGGTCCATAGCGCATCTCTGTAGCACAAGCTCGACGTACAAGACTACCTAGGTACCTACAGATTCAAAAGCAAGGGTCGACAACCTTCCTGTGAAGCACCTTTCTGCGTATCCGGTCCGAAAAGAAGCAGACAAGGTAAGCCAACCTTGCCAAAGCGTTGCTGACCGCGGATTGTGATATCGAAGCAGGTTCGGCCTGGGCGATTGCAGGGAGGCTAGACTGCCTGCCTGCCTCCCCTGCCTTGCTTTACCTGCCCATCTGTCTATTGTACGTAGATTACCTAGCTCTCGCTTTCCCCCGTTACTTCCTTGCCTGAACACACATTTCAGACGGCACATGGGGGTCTCCTGCCTACCTTACCGTAGGTGCAGTTGGCGCGCCTGCTCGCCACAAATCGGAAGCAGGCCCTGCAACCAGCCCCCCCCTTGCTTGCCTCGAGTGACCTGGGCGGGCGCGCTGTGGCGTCCAGGTAGTTCTCCCGCATCTTTACCGCGATCCCAATTAGGATATGACAGTACGTAGAACAATGGGGCAGTAGCGGGTACCTATCGCGGAGGATTATGAATATCTGCATCTGCCTTCACCATGCGTGAGCGGGGCCCTCCAACCAGCAGCCCGTCTCTTCTCCCACACACAAGTTGTGACACGACCAACACTCGCTCATCGCGTAATATTCCATCTCTCAGCCTGGGTCAACCACTTCTCAACGTGGTTTTTCATCTTTCACCAACGACTCAACCGGGCCGCCCCGTACTCTCTGTGTTGGCAGTTGCTCCATTGGGGGCTCCATGATCAGACGGTCAACTTCCTGCCCAGGAGACCATCTCCAGTCAGCCCTTGCAACGGGATAGCTGAAATTGCCTGCTTCTCTGGACACCGGACTTGCCGTCGAGGCATTGCGTCAAGTGTCCAACACCCTGTGCATGCACGCACCTACCTGGTCAGTTGGGGGGGGAAACGCAGAAATACCGAGCCCAAGGCACGAGGCCACCCAGCAGCGACGGCAGCAGCAGCAGTAGGTTGATGCAACACACACCAGGGATCCCTTCCAAACCACTCACACGCACACACCCACACCATATGCACACACCTTGAGACGAATTACTACGCACCAACTACGGATCGTCTTCCAGAAGCTCTAGGTCAGACGCCACCCCCTCTACGCTGGTTGTCACCTGCGCATGCACTCCTCATAGTAGCTAGCGTGGTCTTTTGTATCTCTTAGAAACCTGCGTCGACTTTCTGGTGGGAAGATCGAGAAGAGCACAAAAAAAAAGGTACCCCGGCCCCATCACCCACTTCGGTTGTGGTGTAGGTTGTCGATACTTCTGCTAGACCCAACCGCAGGCCCATCACTCCACGGCCTCCCACCCTTACGCTCCCTGGCAGGCATCTCCCGCACCGGCGCGGTTTAAATCGACGCAGTACCCATCTGGCCCGCCTGGAGGCCCCGTTGCCTCTGCATGTACCTCGACCGAGAGAGGTACAAGTTCTCTGTCTTCTGACCTGCGCCCGACTTTGCCATATTTCCCTCCACCGCCAGCTCACACACATCTCCCTGCGGCTGTGATACCGGGTCCTCAATGAACCAACATACATACCACCCAGTTAGCACCTCCAACATCACCACTGCGGGAGTGCAAGCAACCAACCGTCATTATCTAGACTTCCATTCGGCCCCGTCGGTGAAATCATTTCGCCCTATTGCACTTGCATGGTTGGAAAGGATTGACGATGGCAAACAAGTCAGCTCGCACCATTATACGTTCACTCTCAAGTCAATAGCCAATGTCTGGCTGTCGTGTCACAGAGTCATATAAAGGCCCAAAGACATCGCCTCTGCGAAAAAAAGAAATCCTTCGACTCCAAGCAGCTCCTACATCATCATCACCACTGGGCACCCTGGCACATTTCGAGATTCTTTTCAAGTCACCAGTCTTCAGCTTTACACAGCACGAAGACCAAACCTCACATCTTATCTCCTCAACGTCTCTCTTAAAGTACCCTGTTCCATTAGACGCGCCCTCGACCTAGTCACCGACATCCACCGGTCATCACCTCGAGCCAAAATGTGTTCCAAGATCTTTACCGTCTTCAGGTGCAACCACAGCTCACCCTCGTACCCTCCTGCCGAGACATCTTGCGCCTCTTTCAGGAGCGCCATCGCTCGCGCGAACCAGTCGAACCAGCCAGTTGAGAGCTGCCCCAACTACAACGAGGTCAAGGATGAGAAGGATTCATACTGCCCCGATTGCCAAGCTGCCGGCCGTGGATCGTAGGTTGGTGACCTTTGTATGCACATAACTACATGACGATCACCTAACAGTCTAAAAAAGACCTCCACCCTCCACGGTTCGCTACCGAAGTCGCAAGCTCTGATGAGGAGCCATCCCTATAGTATGGACCCTCAACAACAGCTCGCATCTATCAGCGAAGCCGACGCACACGAGATAAGTAGACTCGACTGGTCGGGTTTTGTCTCCCTTCTACACCAATACGTCTTCGGATGAGCTGGCCTGCAGCGCAAGACCAGCTGGAGGATAATGACTGCAAGTGTGATGCCGTCATGACAGCAGGCAGGACACGTCATTCTCTTCAGCTTTCTACCCTTTTCCACCTTCGACTTTTCCCATTCACTTTTTCTCATTTCACTATCCTTAAGATTATTTTCTTCTCTCCTACAAGACTTAGCGCAAGGCTCCGCGGCAATGACGACGGTGTGGTTTATCCTTAGCACAAGCACAGTCAGTGGGCTGCAGCGTGGATGGCAGGGATCTCAGTAGACGCTTCAGGTCAATAGGCTTCTCTGGCTCCCGCTGGAGTAATCAAATTTTCAATTTCTTTTATCCCTTTCTCACTTTGACCGGCACGTTTTCAGTTAACAGACACGGAAGTTTTCTCTAGCGCGGACACAACAACCAACCGGGTCGCAACGCGGCTGGCACACAATGTGTGGTGGGCGAAAAACCCCGAGCCAAAGCATTTGGCAAGGCCACACGACAAGCTGAGCGGTACACATTGCTTGCACCGAGCCAATCTTCTCTTTATTTGAGGGGTACCCACTGCGAGACATCGAGGATCACCGTTCAACTTTGCGCGACGATGGGGAATTTCTTTGCTCGCAAGACAGTTGACAGCAGCGACAACGAGCACGGCCCTCGGGGGCAGGGGCGCACGGATGACGAAGGTTGTACAGGGTGTGAGAGAGACGTCGGCTTCCCACGCACCTGGCATGAACAAACCTGTCAAGGGCGGGGCGGGCTCGGCACAGCACATCAGTGACGGGAGGGGCCAGCAGCAGTCTGCGTGTCCAACGCGTCTCTCATCCCTGCGGCCAGCCAACAGCTTTTTTCAGGCTGCGAACACGCGCGCTGACGACAACCAGGCCTCTCTCTGCCGGCCCATTGACTGTTGGTACCGTAACCGTCCATCGGTTGGCTACTGAGTAAGTCAAGGCAGGTAAGGTGAGTCCCTTGGCTATGCAAGGTCGGCCAGAACAAGGACCAACCAAGGCAGCCTCTACACAATGGAAAAGCTCATGTCGCAGGGACCGGGCCTGAGCTTGGATTGAGGCCTTGCACTCTGTGTGGATCCTTACTCGCATTGCAGCCGCGTCATGTGATGGTACGCTGAGGCGAGGATCGATCAGGTTTAGACAAGCGAAAAGGGAGGGGGGGGAGTCGAGCAGGACCTGTGCCTGGGAGCCTCTACTTGACCACGGCGTGCGTGCGCAACCCCGAGCCAATTTATCGAATTCAGGGTCGAGCAGCGGCCAGCATCGTCCTTCGAGAAACGCGGGGCCGGCTCCCCCTTTCTGTCCCTCCCTCCCTCCCTCCCCCTCTCTCTCTCTCTCTCTCCCAGGCCTTTATCATTAGCAGCAGCGCGCAAGGCGAGCAGGTCACTCAAAGCTTACACGTCAGCTTCTGATCGGCGCACCTTATCGCTCATGACAGGTCGCAAGGCCAGGGGGCGGGGCATTGGAATGAGCGGGAGCTAAGGGCGGAAGCTAGGCTGACCAGTTGCGAGGAAGCTTCGCTAGACACGACAGTTGAGGCCGGCCGATGTTACCTTCCGTCGTCCAAGCGAAGGGTGCATTAGCCACTAGGCAGGTAGTTACCTACTGTCGCCGGCCGATGACACCGAAACTCTGGCAACGAGGATCCCGCTTTGGGGGCCAGTCTGATGTTCTGCCTGCCTTGGATCTAGGTAGGTTGGCCAGGACAGGGCAGACAGGAGGTTTTCGAAGGAGCTTGGCCCGAGACGAGGGCAACTTACAACTTGCGTCTCGCATGCCTCATTACGTCATTTGCACCAGGACTGCCATGCAGCGCCATGTGAGAAAACACAGCATAGGGCGGCCGGGGATATGCAAGAAGGGAAATGGTAGGGAAATAAAGAAATAGACAGAGAGAAAATACAGCCAGAGACAGAGTGTCACAACAGGACTGTCATGGGTGAAGACCCTCCGCTGTCGTGACAGGTCTCCTCTTTCCCCTCGCCTCACACCTTATTTCAGGCCACACGATGATAACTTTGTGTGCCGATGCTCGTGACTGTCTGTCGCTCGCTCGTCCTCACCTCACCAACCCACACAGCTTGAGCCACCAAGCTTTGACTGGCCGGCGGCGTAGTTGACGCATTGGATGCTCGTTGCCAAGCCTGTCGGGTGAGCGCATGTCCCGCTTCCCCTCCATGAACCTGCAGACTCCCATTACCCAGTCATGTGCGTGTGTGCGTCCTTCGGTCCCGTCCATCTGCGCTTCGACGTTGCGGGTACTGCGGATGTGATGGATGGGGATTAACAAGGGGGGGTGTTAAGGGGCGCAAGGTGCGGGCAGGAGAAGCGCCGACATGCAGGTTAGTGCGCGGGTGACAGGCCCGGTGTCGGCTGTTGGACGGCAACGAGCGAGGCCACTGAGCGACATGGGCCAGTGTCTGTGTCTGTGTCTGTCTGTGCTTGTCGCTGGCGAAGGCATCACGACGCTGATCGGGCGATTGCTTGCATGGCAGAAGTATTGGCTTAGGAACGGTAGGCCAATTTAGGTATACCTTATGGGGGGCGACTAGGGCAGGGCAGCTGTTTTACTACCTCTGACTGACGCCTCAAGGGGATAGGCAGGCAAGGCAAGGCAGGCAGGGAAGGCAGCCCAGGTACCGATCCCCCCTGCCCCCTTCCCCCGGCAGATCATTATTCATTTTGGGGGGCGTCCGTGAGGAGGAGGAGAAGCTGCGCAAGATTGCCATGGAGAAG